ATTTTGATGTTCCCATTGGGAAATTTGAAGTTCCTGGGGAAAAATTTTGGGGTTCTCAGTGGGAATTTGGGATTCCCAGTCAGAAATTTGGAGTTCCTGAGGGAAATTTTGGGGTTCCCATTGGAAATTTTGGGGTTCCCATCAGGAATTTTGCCTTTCCTATTGGGAATTTCGGGTTTCTCATTAGGAATTGGGGTTTCCCATTGGGATTTTTGATGTTCCCATTGGGATTTTTGAGATTCCTACTGGGATTTTTTGATGTTCCCATTGGGATTTTGGGATTTTTGATGTTCCCATTGGGATTTTGGGATTTTTGATGTTCCCACTGGGATTTTTGAGGGTCCCATTGGGATTTTTGAGGTTCCAACTGGGATTTTTGAGGTTCCCACTGGGATTTTTGAGGTTCCCACTGGGAATTGGGGTTTCCCATTGGGATTTTTGATGTTCCCACCAGGATTTTTGCGGTTCCAACTGGGATTTTTTGATGTTCCCATTGGGATTTTTGAGGGTCCCATTGGGATTTTTGATGTTCCCATTGGGATTTTGGGATTTTTGATGTTCCCATTGGGATTTTTGAGGTGGGATTTTTGAGGGTCCCATTGGGATTTTTGATGTTCCCATTGGGATTTTGGGATTTTTGATGTTCCCATTGGGATTTTTGAGGGTCCCATTGGGAATTGGGGTTTCCCATTGGGATTTTTGATGCTCCCATTGGGATTTTTGATGTTCCCATTGGGATTTTTTGAGGTTCCCATTGGGATTTTTGAGGGTCCCATTGGGAATTGGGGTTTCCCATTGGGATGTTTGATGTTCCCACTGGGATTTTTGAGGGTCCCATTGGGATTTTTGATGTTCCCATTGGGATTTTTGAGGTTCCAACTGGGATTTTTGAGGTTCCCACTGGGATTTTTGAGGTTCCCACTGGGAATTGGGGTTTCCCATTGGGATTTTTGATGTTCCCACCAGGATTTTTGCGGTTCCAACTGGGATTTTTTGATGTTCCCATTGGGATTTTTGAGGGTCCCATTGGGATTTTTGATGTTCCCATTGGGATTTTGGGATTTTTGATGTTCCCATTGGGATTTTTGAGGGTCCCATTGGGAATTGGGGTTTCCCATTGGGATTTTTGATGTTCCCATTGGGATTTTTTGAGGTTCCCATTGGGATTTTTGAGGGTCCCATTGGGAATTGGGGTTTCCCATTGGGATGTTTGATGTTCCCATTGGGATTTTTGAGGTTCCCACTGGGATTTTTGAGGTTCCCACTGGGAATTGGGGTTTCCCATTGGGATTTTTGATGTTCCCATTGGGATTTTTGAGATTCCTACTGGGATTTTTTGATGTTCCCATTGGGATTTTGGGATTTTTGATGTTCCCATTGGGATTTTGGGATTTTTGATGTTCCCACTGGGATTTTTGAGGGTCCCATTGGGATTTTTGAGGTTCCAACTGGGATTTTTGAGGTTCCCACTGGGATTTTTGAGGTTCCCACTGGGAATTGGGGTTTCCCATTGGGATTTTTGATGTTCCCACCAGGATTTTTGCGGTTCCAACTGGGATTTTTTGATGTTCCCATTGGGATTTTTGAGGGTCCCATTGGGATTTTTGATGTTCCCATTGGGATTTTGGGATTTTTGATGTTCCCATTGGGATTTTTGAGGTGGGATTTTTGAGGGTCCCATTGGGATTTTTGATGTTCCCATTGGGATTTTGGGATTTTTGATGTTCCCATTGGGATTTTTGAGGGTCCCATTGGGAATTGGGGTTTCCCATTGGGATTTTTGATGCTCCCATTGGGATTTTTGATGTTCCCATTGGGATTTTTTGAGGTTCCCATTGGGATTTTTGAGGGTCCCATTGGGAATTGGGGTTTCCCATTGGGATTTTTGATGTTCCCATTGGGATTTTTGAGGTTCCAACTGGGATTTTTTGATGTTCCCATTGGGATTTTTGAGGGTCCCATTGGGAATTTGGGTTTCCCATTGGGATTTTTGATGTTCCCACTGGGATGTTTGATGTTCCCATTGGGATTTTTGATGTTCCCATTGGGATTTTTGAGGTTCCCATTGGGGAATCGGGGTTTCCCATTGGGATTTTTAATGTTCCCGTTGGGATTTTGGGATTTTTGATGTTCCCATTGGGATTTTTGATGTTCCCACTGGGATGTTTGATGTTCCCATTGGGATGTTTGATGTTCCCACTGGGATTTTGGGATTGTTGATGTTCCCACTGGGATGTTTGATGTTCCCATTGGGATTTTTGATGTTCCCATTGGGATTTTGGGATTTTTGATGTTCCCACTGGGATTTTTGATGTTCCCATTGGGATTTTGGGATTTTTGATGTTCCCACTGGGATTTTTGATGTTCCCACTGGGAACTGGGGTTTCCCATGGGGAATTTGTGCTTCCCAGCAGGAATTTGGGCACTGCAGGACCCAGGATGCCGTCGCAGCTGGAGCACGCCATGGAGACGCTGATGTTCACCTTCCACAAGTACGCAGGGGACAAGGAGCACCTGGCCAAGGAGGACCTGCGGGCGCTCATGGACAAGGAATTCCCGGGATTCCTCGAGGTGGGCGCGGCGGAGGGGATGGGAGGGACAGGAGGAGCTGGAGAACCCCAGGATCTGATCCCATAAACCTTGGGATCAGACCCGATAGAACCCTGGGGTTGGATCCCATAAAACTCTGGGGTCAGATCCCACAAACCCGGAGATGAAATCCTACAGAACCCCGGATCAGAGCCCGTAAACCCTGGGATCACACCCCATAAAACCGGGGATGGGATCCCATAAAGCCCAGGATTGGATCCCATAAAATCCCCGGATCAGATTCCATTAACCTTGGGATCAAATCCTATAGAACCCCAGAATCAGACCCCATAAACCTTGGGATGGGATCCCATAAACCCTAGGATCAAACCCTATAGAACCCTGGGATTAGATCCCATAGAAGCCTGGAACAGAACCCCACAGCGCCCCGGGATCAGCTCCTATAAAACCCTGGGATCAGGGGACGATGATCCCCCCATTCCCTTTCCCCCATTCCCATTTGGGATCTGACCCCGTTCCCATGGGGGATCTGACCCCGTTCCCGTGTGGGATCTGACCCCGTTCCCGTGTGGGATCTGACCCCGTTCCCATGGGGGATCTGACCCCGTTCCCATTTGGGATCTGACCCCGTTCCCATGTCCGTTCCCATGTGGGATCTGACCCCGTTCCCATGGGGGATCTGACCCCATTCCCGTGTGGGATCTGACCCCGTTCCCGTGTGGGATCTGACCCCGTTCCCGTGTGGGATCTGACCCCGTTCCCATTTGGGATCTGACCCCGTTCCCGTGTGGGATCTGACCCCGTTCCCGTGTGGGATCTGACCCCGTTCCCATGTGGGATCTGACCCCGTTCCCATGTGGGATCTGACCCCGTTCCCATGTGGGATCTGACCCCGTTCCCGTGTGGGATCTGACCCCGTTCCCGTGTGGGATCTGACCCCGTTCCCGTGTGGGATCTGACCCCGTTCCCGTGTGGGATCTGACCCCGTTCCCATGTGGGATCTGACCCCGTTCCCGTGTGGGATCTGACCCCGTTCCCATGGGGGATCTCTGACCCTTTTTCGCGGTGTTTTCCCCCAGAACCAGCGGGACCCGCAGGCGCTGGAGCGGATCCTGCGGGATGTGGAGCAGAGCCGCGATGGCCGCGTTGGCTTCCAGGGCTTCTTCTCGCTGGTGGCCGGGCTGACCATCGCCTGCAACGACTACTTCGTGCTGCACATGAAACAGCGCGGCCGCCGCTGAGGGA